ACTGTAAATCCATTTAATACTAGAAAGGCCAATATTTGCTTTGGAGCAAATACAGCGATGGGTTCACCACATTTTACCACATGGCAGGGAAAGAATGAGAAACACAAGGGAAAACAATGATTTACATTGATATAACTATAATATGATGTAACATACAACTAAAACAACAGTTGGATAGCTATTCCCTACTTTATTGGTTGGGATTTTTAATTGCATAATGCAAACTGTTGATTTTCAAAATAAAAAAAAAAAACGTTCATGCCCCGCATTCCAATGCTGGAGCAGAAAAGCTTGAAATACCTACCAAAACACTTGAATAAAGACATACTGTCAGTATGGAAATGCTCAGTGTGCAGGTGTTAATCAAGTTAAATTCCAACAGCCAATCAGCAAGAAGTATAGAGGAAAGCTGCATGCCTATTGGTTGATGCCCTGCATTCCATTGTGATGACTCATGACCAGACGTGGTAAACATGGCACACTAACACAGTAATACATTAGCTATAATACAGCCAAAAAACTCAAATAAAACCATTCTAAAAGCCTGTATCACAAACATTTAAAAAACGCCTAGGGGTATTTGCCCACTGTACCTCCATACCAAATTTCAGGACCTTAGGCCCTAAAATGAAGAAGCTGAATCCATTTAAAAAATGGCAGGAGGAGAAGGAGAAGGAGAAGGAGGAGGAGGAGAAGAAACATCAGAAAAAGCTTCGTGGTGTGGTGAACCCATAAATATGCGGTTAGAAATTACTAGTACATCAATTGTTACTTAAGCTACAAGATATTGTTTCACACACCTGTTATGCTGTCCCAGGTGTTGTTACCACATACCTGACACACACCTGTCCCAGGTGTTGTTACCACATACCTGACACACACCTGTCTGTTCCAGGTGTTGTTACCACATACCTGACACACACCTGTCCTGTTCCAGGTGTTGTTACCACATACCTGACACACACCTGTCCCAGGTGTTGTTACCACATACCTGACACACACCTGTCTGTTCCAGGTGTTGTTACCACATACCTGACACACACCTGTCTGTTCCAGGTGTTGTTACCACATACTGTAAGTCTCTTTAGATTCGCGGGGCCTAAAGTTCGCGGTTTCGGGAAAATGGACAGTCCGCGGTATTTTTAGATTCGCGATTTCTCCTTGGCTATTTTTCAAACAAAAATTTGTAAAGTGTATATTTAAAATAATAAAAGTTCGTGTTCCGGCATTTATCTCCTAAAACGCGGCGCAAAAATTTGTTTCGTGCACCGCGCGAGACTGCCGGCGGTAAAGCTGACGATCGATCTGACGCACGTGTAAACAATTTTCTTTGTTCGGAAATAAGCGCTAAAATGCTATTTTCCACGACTACACATCGATACTCTAGTGAAGAAATGCATAATCGAAAGAATATATATATTACTAAGCAAATTTATGCCGTCTACGGCGAGATTTTGAACCCGGAAGTATGCAAAGGTCGCCTTCGGTTTTGTAGGCCCACGGTGAGCATTTCTATCCAGCAAAACAAGAAGAAGAAAAAAACGCCCGCAAAGCAGGGCGCAAAAGCTAACCAACTAACATTTCCCAGGTACCAGCCGTTATATTTTTCATAAAAATACTTGTAGATATGCCCAATGTTCCCGCAATTTTCAAGCGCCCGGGCGCGCATGGCCGGCGATCTGCACGCATAGATTTTTTTCGGCGGTACACGGTTGACACGGTCAGTGCCGCAGTATCGCGATTCGGTGTCTCATAATATTATAATTTTTTGACATCAGTATAACTTAAAAAAAAATTTTGGTACTCAACATTTGCTAAGAATAAAGTTGATTTGCAGTGATTTGTGAATCGCGTGTGTTTGTGTTTCGCTTACCGTCGTGAATGCATGTGGGGAGGGGGGCGTACTTACGCAAAACATATTCGCGGGGAAATAGATTCGCGGTACAAAGGTCCCCGCGAATGCCGCGAATCTAAATATACCGCGGAAATTTGTAGACTTACAGTACCTGACACACACCTGTCTGTTCCAGGTGTTGTTACCACATACCTGACACACACCTGTTCCAGGTGTTGTTACCACATACCTGACACACACCTGTCTGTTCCAGGTGTTGTTACCACATACCTGACACACACCTGTCTGTTCCAGGTGTTACCACATACCTGACACACACCTGTCTGTTCCAGGTGTTCCTATAATGCTGATGTAGCTGACACCTGTGTGAGTCATGGCTGAGGGCCAGGGGGCGGCTGGGTGCTCAGGTGAAACTTTATCCATATGCTTTTTTTAATCACACAACAATAAGCTTTAGCGAGTTGGTGTCAGCCTCTAAAATCTAGCCAAACACCTGAAACCTTGGATACCAGCAATTACTACAAATATTGCAGTCGTAACACTCGCCCGCCTTACCATTAACTCATTTTCCTTGTTGAAAAATGTAACAAATGGGGAGATCCTTCCTGCTTACAGATGGAGTCCAGATGTTTTCTTAGTAGCTCTAAGTTAACTGCCGTTCTAGCCTTAATGTTTGGTGCTGTAGAAGGTTATTAACAAATGCCAGCATCTACAACTGCAAATGACAAAGCAATGGAAGAAAAACCCACTAAAGTATCATACTTCATACATAATACTGGTTATATTCATGTCATCATGCAATGCCCTTAAATGTTACAGCTGATGTGCAGAAATATTTTGACAAAGTCATCAAAGGCGTCAGCTACAAGTGGGACGACCTGGCCCGGAAGTTAGGGTTCAACGAGAACAAAATAAAAGGAATCAGGACAGATGAGACATTGAAGCCTGATCAAGACCACAGGTGCAGAGAAGTGCTGCACAGGTGGAGAAACAGGGAGGGAAGGGAGGCTACTCTACAGGTTCTGAAGCAGGCACTTATCGACATTGATGAACGGGCCACTGCAGAGAGTTTGGAAGGTGCGTTTACCAGTTTTCTTATTATAATAGATTCAGATTCTCAGTCCACATGATGCTGTAACGATTCGGCTAAAAGGTCTTGACCCATCGGCCAGGTCAGCTGGTAGCACCTATGAACCCCCCACAGTTACAACACCGTTGTGTTTAGTGCTACTTTAAAATGGAAGTTTTCCCATTACATCTCTAGCTTGATGTTATCCTTGAACCAATTCTGTTTTACGATACTGTAACATATGTGTAAGATGAAGATATATTTAGAGTGAGAGACTTTGAGAATGACACTACCAGATAGATAAGGAATGAGATGCTACTACAGATTCCAAAGATTGTGATACTGATAGTTGTATTTATCACACAGAACTTTTGAATGCCCATATAGCATGTATAGTGACAATCTATAGTCTCAGTGCAGCAAAAGAATATGGAAAGAAAACAACCATTATTGTACAAAGTTAAAAGACTATTCTATATTTCCTGGTCCATACCTAACGTACATGTATTGCTCATCCATGCATGCAGAGTTACAGGAGCTACAGCCATCCACAAGCAAACTTAAAAGGAAGGAAGAACATCGGGAACAAACCCCTGGACAGAAGTCGAAGAAACCGAGAACTGAATCTGATTCTGAAGATGGGGAATCTCACGAGGAAGGTAAGGCCACAGCAAGTAAATTTTATGGATGACATCCTCTGCAGACTCCAAATCTAATGCGAGCGGGCGGAAAAAAAAACAAGGCGGGCCGAAAAAAACAAGGTTCCTAAATATTAAAATTTTGACTCAATCATTGTACAAATGGTTTTTACTCAGTGGCAACATCATATATACACAGCCAACATCACATATCACTGTATTAAAGTAGTACACAAAACTTTTTCTTGTCTCCTCCCTGCATAGTTATCTGCCATCCACCTTCCGGCATGGCAACGGACATCTTTGCCCATTTTTGGCATGTTGACCACTGTCAGAAGGCAACAAAATTTCTTTTTTTTTTTCAAAATTAGGCGAAAATTAATGCGCGCACTGATGTCATCCATAAAAATTACTTGCTGTGGCCTAAGAGATAATTCAAGAAAATGTTGGTCATCCCTTATATGTCAAAGGCTCTTGAGTTAGTTATATTTTATCAGTTTGATCCATGTAATCTGGGTCACGATGATGTTGTTGTGTTCACTGTGGATGTTGATGTATTGTCGCAGCGCAGCAACACAATATTATATGCAGTATTTTATTTTCTCAGGTAATTCGTATTGCTTGATTTGTCTTTTTTCATTTACTGACCATCTAACTATTGCCAAACATATTACGGTGTTCCATGAATAAAATTCCAAAGCAAATGTCGGCCTTTCTAGTTTAATTTGTATCTTGCATATCATCATTCTCAATATCAAAATAGAAAATAAAACATGTATTATTTTCACTTTGATTTGTGTAAAACAAAGCTGGCAGGAAAAAAAGCCTGAAGAATAAAATCACTGAAAGATCAAACTTCCACCTTTGACAGATTCTAGAATGTTCTGGTCTCTGAAGTTTGAGGTTTTAAGAGAAACAATAATAAAAAAAAACATGATTGAAACTGTTCCTTATGAGTGTTCGGAAAAAATGGTACTACCGTGTAATCCTTTTGTGTTCTATTTTATCACTGGCAGTGGCATTTCCAGTTGAAGCTGCAGGAACAGACGTTAATCTGACAGGTGGGAATGATAATTGACATCAAAAATGATAGGAAGTATCATTTATGTTAAACTTTCCACTGTCAATAAGTTTTGTTTTATTAAGGTTTAGCTTTATATTTACATGACTGTGCCCCAGCAAACTGCAAACTCATGGACTGATGAAACAGGAACATTAATTTTGTTTCGATATGTCGTTTCTATGAGAAGTTATGAGCCTTTAAAATTCAATAAAAATTGGTAAAAAAAAGTGCAATGTTTACATTTAAAAACCTGTCAAATATTCAGATTATATATTTGAGCCTGTTTCACGCTTTCATCTGACTTTTTTTATCATTCTCTACATTTTAAGCTTTAAATCATAAAAAAGTCTTACAAAAGTGTCCTTTGTATTCCAGATTTGTTCCAGAAGTCTGTGAAGAGGCGCTATGAGTTGAAACTGACTCACTTCAAGCCTCTGATCTGGAATGACAACTTCACACTTAGCCTCAGTGACATCTTCACCCAGTTAGAGTTGATACAAAAATCAAAACATAAAAGGTCAGAATCAATGAGGGGGGAAGAGAGGAAAGAACTTAAGTCATTAGACGACTTGTTCAAGACAGATGTCACAGGACTGTCCACAGCACCAAGGTGCATTCTGATTGAGGGTGAAGCTGGAGGGGGGAAGACAACGTTTCTGTCCAAAGAAGCCCTAGATGCCGTCTCACAGAAAACAGAGCTGGGCAGACGGCACGACATCGTCCTGTTGATCCGACTCCGGGAGGTGAGAGAGGGGGAGACCATAGAGGAGATGGTGTGGGACCAGTGTGTTGATGAAACAACTGAAGGTATTGAACCACAGTCCATTAGAACAATCCTACAGAGGAACAAGTCCCGTGTGCTCTTCCTCCTAGATGGGTATGATGAGCTGCGGCCTGAGGCCAGGGCAGCCAGGCAGGCCATTCCCAAACTGCTGTCTGGCAAGATGTACCCCAACAGCACGATTGTGATCACCTCCCGACCCTCAGCAGGAGTGCAGCAGTACACCCGGCCAGACTGTCACATACACATTGTGGGCTTCTCCCGTAGACATGTGGAGAAATACATGCAGCAGTATTTCACTGTTGTTGGGAAGCAAGAACTGACAGGGACACTTGCTCTACATGTCAAAGGTAATCAACTTTTGAACACTTTAATCTATACACCAATGTTCCTGATGTTTGTGTGTCTGCTGTGGGAGGAGGATCAAGAGATGGTGTCTACTGGAACAATGATGGGGCTGTACGACAACCTGCTGACATGTCTGATCAGAAAGTGCTGTGAGCGGGAAGGAGTGGACATGCCAACAGAAGGGCTGCCTACAGAGGTTGCTGAGTCATTACTGCAGCTCGGCAAGCTTGCACTAGAGGCACTGCTGAGGAATGAGACCCTGCTTGACCTTACAGAAGTAAAGAGAGAAAAGGTTAATTGGGAGTTACTGTTAAAGCTGGGTGTGGTCTCCTTGGAGGTTTCTTCTTCTAAATTGCATCCTAGGAAACAGCTGAACTTTTCACACAAGACCATGCAAGAGTTCCTGGCCGGACGATATGTAGCTCATGCTCAAGTGAATCAAGACATTGTTGAGCTGCTGCAGCTCACCTCCATAAGCAAGGCACTTGAACTCAGTAACCTGCTTCAGTTCACATGTGGCTGTGACTCACGGGCAACACAAGCTGTGATGGAGGAACTAAGCAAGCTCAGCAGCAGAGAGTTCGCACACTTGCAACCAGAACAGTTGGAAAAATCAAAATGGTCATTTTATCCAGACATTCCAATGAGTCGAGACGTGCAAAAGTCCTGCCAAACCTATGAAAGGTTTTCACTCTTGTGCCTGAACATCCTTAGTGAGAGACAAGAACCAGAAGTGCTTCAGGGTATCAGTCAAGCCCTGCCAATTGTCATGCTGGACATTGGCCAGTCATGCTCCATTAACAGTAGAGAAGCCACAGGTCTTAAGTATTACATACAAAATCTTCATTCAGCAAACCTGCCAGACAGGCTCATGATCCGTGAAGACACTGACAGCAGAGACACAGTTCAGTACCTACAGCAGTGTTTTACAACTTCACTCCCTGGACTTAGATTGGACTTGAAACTATCAGGACAGTTTGACTCAACTGATCTGACAGCCAGGCTGGTTTCAGTTCTGAAGAATGTTCCCTGTCTGAGGGCACTAGGTCTGTATGACACAAAACTATCACCGTCATCACTCCAGCCACTTGTGCAGGGATTCAGACACATGTCTCTGTTAGAGGAGCTGGATCTTTCTGGGAACCATGGCCTTGGTGATGCTGGGATGGAAGTCCTACAGGTTGGGCTGTCCCGTGTTCCACACCTGGCTGTACTCCGTCTTGGAGGGATAATTTGTGGAGTCGGAATGACATCTGTGGGCATGTCATCCCTGGCTCCATACTTGCGGCACCTAGTGGGACTGAGAGAACTGGATATAAGTGATAATATTGAGATTGGTGACACTGGGCTGGAATCTCTCACCACCGTCCTCCACACCTTCACTGCCATGCAGGTGTTGTGCCTGAGTAAGACCGGTATCAGCCCCACAGGCATGCGCACACTGGTCCCTGCAATGTGTAAGTTAACCAGACTGATCAAACTGGACATTAGTGGTAATGCCATAGGAGACCCCGGGCTGGAATGCCTGGCTGCTATCCTCCACCACCTCACAGCCATGAAGGTGTTGGTTCTCAGTATCACAGGTATCAGTGACAGGGGAATATCATCCCTGATCAAAGCTCTGCCTCACCTGGTGCAATTACAGGTGTTGAATGTGAGCTACAATAACATAGGAGACTCAGGGATTGTCTCACTGGTGCAAACACTCTGCCAGCCCAGCAGTTTGGACATGGAGCAAAACCCACCTGGTGACAAGAGTCTGACCACAGCCCCTCACTATAACACCACACTACAGGAGCTGTACATCGGGTGGAATGAGGGAGTAACAGGAGCCGGACTGGGGAGGGTCGCACAGCTCATCAGCACACTGCCAGCACTGACCAGGCTGGACATGTCTGGTTACCTGCTCACACCTGCACACCTGTCTGACACCGCTGCCATGGATCTGGCCGAGGCTCTACCCAGACTCCCTGCCCTGGAGTGGCTGGACCTGCAGTACATCTCCATGGAGCCTGCAGGGTTCCAGGCTGTGGTGCAGGCTGCTGAGGAACACCCAACACTGGAGAGGCTGATGTGAGTTATATTGGTTATTCTATATAGACATGCTCAACACCAGAGTATCTTAAATTGACTCCAATGAGATGAGTAATTTTGAGAGAACTTCAGTGATTAGATGTGTGAATTTGCTGTACTTTCATTACTGCACTATTTTCACAATCAAATTGTAATAAATGTACCTAATACATACACACCAGTTCTAGTGCTCATACTTCTATAAGGTATGTACCAATTACATTAAACCTATGCATTAACCTACAAAATGTATATGGCACCAAATGGTTTATGAATCTGTTTAATATCAGTAGTTTAACATTTACTTTACATTCTGTTAAAGCTATGATATCAGGACAATATGTGTTACATAATTAACTATTATTTCTCTACGCATCTCTGTTTTCCATTTTCCATCTACAGGTACACTAGGAGGCTAGTTCCTGAGGGAGCAGACACCACAGCCAGCTGCCTGGTGCTGATCGGCCGCTGAGTCCCCAACATGTTGACCTGTTCTGTACATTTCCTCAGCTCAGGTCAGTATACAGTTTTACTGTACTGTATTAAAAACTATATAGTTATAATTATCTACTAATTACAACATGTTGAGGAGTCTGGGGATATTGATATAATAGAGCTAATTTTATTTCTATTCAGGATGGTAAAAGCTGCCAAAAATATACTGCATAAAACATTTTTTGTTACTGTAACAGTATTAATGTATGATTGTGTATTATTTCTGGAACAGCATATTTATACAGTATATTGTACATTATATGTTTCAGACAACACCAGCTCAGAATGACGTGAACCAAACAAACCAGTTTTAGTACCAAATTCACTCAGGATGAGGACATTGAGATGAACTGTGAACTGAAATGTTAGTAATATTTTGTAGGGACAATTTTTGTGCAGTACTTTGACCATTCCAATGTAAAGATACAAAAACTGTGCTACCTTACACATGTAGCTGTATCTGTATGTGTGTGGATTTTGCTTTCTTTGTAACAAAACAAACTTGTGTAACAAACAACCCAATATCCATTAATATAGCATATTAACCTATGCAAGAGTGTATATAGTATGTGTACTAGTGTATCAAGATTATTTTTGTAATCTTTGCTGTAGATATCTCCATATAAGTTATAACAGGATGATTTGGGATTAAGAAAGAGCCTACTATTAATTGATATACCAACCTGATGAAACTATGCGAGAGTGTATATTGTATGTACTTAGTACTTGTATCAAGATAATTTTTGTAATCTTTGCTGTATCTGCATATATCAGGATGATTTGGAATTAAGAAAGAGCCTATTATTCATTGATATACCAACCTGATGACACTATGCAAGAGTGTATATTGTTTATGTATGTGTGTTCTTTACTTTATTCTTTATTTCAGGCATCATTTGCCCAGTATATAAAAGAAAACATACAGTTATATAAAAAGAATAATAGCACAAAATAACAATATTTAAAAATATGTCTTTCTATGAGTACAGATGGACCCAGATATTGCAGAAGAATGTTTTGAGGAAGATTTGAGGAGTTGAGAACAGATTGGATAATGTTATTTGAAGAGTTCTGAATATTCTAATAATTTTTGCTGTATCTGTATTTCTGTATGTATCATGATGAGATGTGTGATCTTTGTGTGAATGACGAGTTATTCAGTTCCTGTATTTCATGAAGTTCAGTTCAGATAAAATAATAAAATCTATTGTTATAAACCTTGTAATTGCTGTTGAAGTTAGTTGTAGTTTTTTTTTTTGCACTACAAAAAGAAATCTCAGAGTCAATTAGTGGAAAAGATATGATGTAAAATATGCAATCAACAAAGTAGGAAAGCTTATACATAATGTGTACATAACCTAATATCCAACTTTTCTTTTCATGTCTTAGATATTGGCTTCCATTTCTAATGGTCTCCTTTTCATCCCTTAAAAGTCAAATAAGCATTAAATTTTCTTGTATATCAGTATAATGAGTATATGTGGACATTATCTGATTTTTTCTAAAATTATCTTTGGCCTTTTACTCAACTGTTAATCTGTTTAATATGTAGGGTAAGGGACTGTCAGACAAGCCCTGTTGTCACTCAGAAAACATTACCTTCATCTACCCCCAACATCTGCTTGGAGCCCTTATCCGATTTCCATGACAAATGTGACATTTTACATTATCCGCTTATAGCCAGTTATATGATAAACATCTTAATACCAGGTCACAAAATGATATAATAAAGGAGGATCTGCAAAATATAGACTGGACTGGTGAAACAATATGTACATGTATGCCTATTAAATATCTTCATATGGACTGAAATAGTCTTAATAATAAAAAGTGTTTGAAAAGTCTAAACTTTCGTATCTCTTTGTATGATTTGTCCTGCACAGCGCTATGAATATCTTTATCTCCAAGACATGTTTAATAACAAGTTTGTCTAAGTGAGGGAAGTTTTTTGTTGGAAGTCTAATTCGTTTATTTAATCAATCACTCACTCCATTGAGCTCAGAACCTATGGCTATGATACACATAGATCCTACTTATTGGCAGTTTGCTAACTTTTCTTGGCATCATTACCATGAACTTCACACCTCCGATTTTGTCAGAACTCTCAAGGGTTAAACACACTCATGCTCACATCCACAATAAGGTCGTTCCCATGGTAATGTTAGCCTCTACCAGGCTTCGGGAGACGGCTGGGAAGAGTAGATATCGGTCACCCGGAGTAGAAATTGTCGCACTCGGGTACAGCAAAACGTACTCTCTAGCGGACCAACTCCCTCGGCATGTTATCTCTCTATTTGACCACATTTTACTTGTTCCAGCCGCCTCCCGAAGCCTGGTAGAGGCTAGTGGTAACGTGTCAGACAGAACACAAGTGACCCCAGTCAGCCGTTTTAAGTCTTGCATCATCAGTGGCCGCCATGTTGGTGACAGGTTACACCGGGCGGCCGCAGGTGAGACAAAAGACGGGGACACCTGACGCGCCGGGTACCTGGCGGACGTGCGTCGGTAAGAACGACGGGACACAAAGGACCCGGGCCGGGTTACCGAGCAGCTGTCTACATGTCTCAAGACGTATTGTGAAAGGAAAAGTATCTTGAGACTAGTCTTACGTCACGGAGAGCCGCTTTCCAACTGGTTGTGACCAGCTACAGAAGGAGGCGAGACGCTATGCGCGGTTTGTACGTGTTCTGTGTAGCTGTTCTTGTGGAGAGGGAGCATGAACATTGCAGCACCGCGGCTTGACGTCCCGGGCTGGGATCGGCAGCCCTCTTCTATAGTGGGAGTCTGGTCGGCGGCAGCAGGACTGGACTTGAAATCTTTTTGTTTTGCATAAGCGTTAAAATGCATTTTAGGCACATATGCATACACATACACATTAATGCATACATGCAACTGACACACACATGAACATACACATACACATACTCACGCTCACACATATACACACACATATGAATGCACACGTGCAATTGAGACACATACACATGCACACATGAACATGCACATAGCGTACAGTCATATTACATACCAATGAATTTACACACACATACACACTCCAGCATTCATAGCAAAACATCTGGAACACAGGGTCAAAAGTAGCAAAAGACAACATTATATTTGATTTGATAGGCCAAATGAAGTGCCAAAAAATCACTTGTCACAACTAAGTGATGACATGAAAATAATAATATTGCTGAACAGTATGCAAGAAAGCCCCTTTGTTTTGTAAAGAACTAGGAAAATATTTTGTAACTCACTGAAATTATGACATTGAGCATCAATCAGCTTCACTCCAAAATGCAACTTTTCTTTTCAAAAATTTACAGCAAAACATTCTGACCGTACAGAGTAGCAAAGGCACGTGAACTTTGGCACAAATCCGTTCACTGTGGATTAGAGAGATGGAGATTTTAGAACAATTTCTACTTGAGTCTAACACTGCACCAGAGGCACCGCCCCAGAGGCGCCGCCAAAAACTTGCCCTCAGGTGGCACCTTTACGGAACAGTCCATTTTCTTCACCTCACGGGAGTTGAAGTAAGATTGTGTTTCATTAATAGCTAATTAACCAGTCTATTATATCACAGACCATATAGGATACAACAGTATGCCTTCAGCACACGTATATATTTGCTTATTTTGTAAAGGTTATTATTTTTCGTCTTTCACTTGAAAGCACCCCCACTGTCGAATAAACTGTTCCTAGTTCCAAGATGGCGAAAAGAGGAAGTAAGTAAAAAGTTCCTGAAAGTCGGTTCCAAAAGTTGAAGGAAGTTTTCTGGGGACATCCATGAAGAAAGTAAGTACAGATCCCGTCTGTCGACTGTTCAGTGTTTCAGGATCCACCAGATATGTGTGATTTGTCGGCAATATCGTGTCGAGAAGAGAGATCAGAACACAAAACTGCTGAGTTCTACGGTACTTTACGGTCGTAACTTTTCTTTGTTTGCTATCTAGATTTGCGGTAAATTTAGGATGAACAATCAGTCAAAAACAAAGTTACCCATGAGTTTTTAAATCTAGCAAACTCAAGTTCAACTACAAAGCTCTATTTTCCTACAAATCACCGGAAGGGACGAAACCAAAAGGTTGAAAAGAACTACTGTACTAACAGTTTTGGCGCCGCGCCCCCCCCCCCCAAAAAAAATATGATGAGACCATCTCACACGCTCGGGTAACGTAACTAACGTTATTTTTGTTCTGAGATTAAACGATACTGAAACAGAAATTATCTCCACCTGATTATAAATGATAAGTACTAAAAAATCAGGTATTTACCCCATCACTATGGAAACTATGGCCAAGTCCTAATTTGCATACTATATCTTGTGTATACTGTAAATCCATTTCATAATATGTGGTTAGAAATTACTGGTACATCAATTGATACTTAAGCTACAAGATATTGTTTCACACACACTGTTAGGCTGTCCCAGGTGTTGTTACCACATACCTGACACACACCTGTCCCAGGTGTTGTTACCACATACCTGACACACACCTGTCCCAGGTGTTGTTACCACATACCTGACACACACCTGTCTGTTCCAGGTGTTGTTACCACATACCTGACACACACCTGTCTGTTCCAGGTGTTCCTATAATGATGTAGCTGACACCTGTGTGAGTCATGGCTGAGGGCCAGGGGGCGGCTGGGTGCTCAGGTGAAACTTTATCCATATGCTTTTTTAATCACACAACAATAAGCTTTAGCGAGTTGGTGTCAGCCTCTAAAATCTAGCCAAACACCTGAAACCTTGGACACCTGCAATTACTACAAATATTGCAGTCGTAACACTCGCCCGCCTTACCATTAACTCATTTTCCTTGTTGAAAAATGTAACAAATGGGGAGATCCTTCCTGCTTACAGATGGAGTCCAGATGTTTTCTTAGTAGCTCTAAGTTAACTGCCGTTCTTAATGTTTGGTGCTTTAAAAATTATTAACAAATGCCACTAAAGTATCATACTTCATAGTACATAATACTGGTTATATTCATGTCGTCATGAAATGCCCTTAAACGTTACAGTTGATGTGCAGAAATATTTTGACAAAGTCATCAATGGCGTCAGCTACAAGTGGGACGACCTGGCCCGGAAGTTAGGGTTCAACAGGAACGAAATAAAAGGAATCAGGACAGATGAGCGTGATCAAGACCACAGGTGCAGAGAAGTGCTGGACAGGTGGAGAAACAGGGAGGGAAGGAAGGCTACTCTACAGGTTCTGAAGCAGGCACTCATCGACATTGGTGAACAGTGGACTGCAGAGAGTTTAGAAAGTACTTTTAACTTTTCTTATTATAATAGACTCAGATTCTCAATAACATGTCCATGAAATTATGTAATTTTTAAACCATTAGTTTGGTTTAAACGGATAATTTTATGAACTGATGTTGTCTGTAAGAACAACTCAATTCAGACTATCGTCTGCCAGTTGTTTGAATAAAGATTGATTTATTGATTGATTGATTGATTATACAATTTTCTGAGATGTTTAACGCTGTTACGTTTAGTTGCTTAAAATGAAAGTTTCCCCAATAACATCTCTAGCTTGATGTTATCCTTGAACCAATTCTGTTTTACGATACTAAAACGCCTGTGTAAGATGAAGATATATTTAGAGTGAGAGACAATTGTGCTTGCCCCTTGCCTCCTGCATCTCTCAGTAGGCAATGGGAACGGTGAAAACATAATAACTGTCCTCTCATACATTATTTGCAGCTGTAGCCCAGCCTGGCCCCATCACCATTGCTGAAGTAACAGAAAACAGCATCAGGGTCACCTGGACAGAAGCAGCTGGCCCCAAAGACAGCTACAGGATCAGCATCACTCCTACTGATGGTGTCACCGCTCCTAGTGCAAGTGTGAACCCTGGAGACCCACTGGAACACACCTTCACTGGTCTGACAGCAGGAACTGAGTACACCGTCAGTGTTGTAACTGTCGGTTGTGGGGTGAGCAGTGTGGCAAGAACAAAGATACAGAGGACAAGTGAGCACCCTGTATTGTACATGGCTAGATTCATAGATGCTGGATGATTTTTACAGCTAAATTATTCTTTCGATATCAGACAGTGCCACTCAAGTTTTAATGATGCTGAAATGTTACTGATCATTACAATGCCTCCAGCTGTAGCCCAGCCTGGCCCCATCACCATTGCTGAAGTAACAGTAAACAGCATCAGGATCACCTGGACAGAAGCAGCTGGCCCCAAAGACAGCTACAACATCAGCATCAGTCCTGTCACTGGTGTCACTAACTCCACCGGAAGTGTGAACCCCAGAAACCCACTGGAACACATCTTCAGCACTTTGACAGCAGGAACTGAGTACACCATCAGTGTTGTTACTGTCTGTGGTGGGGTGAACAGTGTGGCAAGAACAGAGACACAGAGGACAAGTGAGTACCCTGCATTCTACTAATGTACTTTGATAAATGTATTGGATATATGCAGTATTACGATCTTTAAAGGCCCTCTCACACTTATCCCAAATTAGCAGGAGTCAAGTAGAACCAGGCAGGTTGGGGAATTGGGGGAGTGAGCCGGAATGCCGTCTGAATGAAAATTTCTTGTACATGTATAATGATGGCCAATTGAAGTGCATGCTTCAAACTATAGGGTTTGATGCGGTTCAAACTATAGTGGCCATCACTGCCTATAATTCATCAATAAGGCTCAAGGACTTTGTGGGACCTTGGGAATTTGTCTGACTCGATAACTGCTGTAGCTGCCTGTGGAATTTGCAACTATAAGTGATGAATTTCACAGCCGCTGGGGGTAAGATTTGGACATTATGCCCAACCCCTCATCCTGATAGATGGAGACATAATGCTTTTCTTCATGTTAAAATGCTCCAACTTGAAACTTCATCAGTCAGTTACAAACATCAGGAAATGTGGGAATGACATATTCAGCATAACCCCTTTGTCCTGTCAAAACTACTGTACACGTGATAGCAGTGTCACTGCATAAGCTGAGTTGACATCATTACTGATACCTGAATCCACCTCTCTGAGACAGGTTCACCCAAACCATCTAGTAGCCAGCGGAAAAGGAAGAGAAAGAGACGATTTACAGTGAAGAAAAAAGCAAAAGCAACTCCTTCCAGACAGTCAGGTGAGAGGTTTATTCTATGTACTAGTATGGTAAAATAGTCTTATAGTCATAATGCCCTCCAATAAGTTGGGACTGACCTCCTATATCTCAGCAACATTAAACCAAGTCGGACCAAAATGATGTAAGAAATATGTAGTAGTGAGCTCCTAGACTATTAAGTTCCTACCGTAATATCTTCCTTTTTATTTTAGTCTTCTACCATCACTTTGGAGTAGTAAGAGTAGTCCTGGTGAGCTTAATAAGCAACAAGTACTGAGTGCAAGCTGGCAGTTTTTTCTCTGATATTTGTAATGATTTGTGATTCAATGATAAGTTTTGTTTCCACTAAGATGAGGTTTTAAAGCTTACAACAGTTTATTTCTATTCCAGATTTGTTCCAGAAGTCTGTGAAGAGGCGCTATGAGTTGAAACTGACTCACTTCAAGCCTCTGATCTGGAATGACAACTTCACACTTAGCCTCAGCGACATCTTCACCCAGTTAGAGTTGATACCAACAAGTGAAAGAAACTTTAAAACATCTGAGAAACAGAAATGGTCAGAATCAATGAGGAAAGAACAAAGAAAAGAACTTAAGTCATTAGACGACTTGTTCAGTCAAGATGTCACAGGACTGTCCACAGCACCAAGGTGCATTCTGATTGAGGGTGAAGCTGGAGGGGGGAAGACAACGTTTCTGTCCAAAGAAGCCCTAGATGCCGTCTCACAGAAAACAGAGCTGGGCAGACGGCACGACATTGTCCTGTTGATCCGACTCCGGGAGGTGAGAGAGGGGGAGACCATAGAGGAGATGGTGTGGGACCAGTGTGTTGATGAAACAACTGAAGGTATTGAAGCACAGTCCATTAGAACAATCCTACAGAGGAACAAGTCCCGTGTGCTCTTCCTCCTAGATGGGTATGATGAGCTGCGGCCTGAGGCCAGGGCAGCTGGGCAGGCCATTCCCAAACTGCTGTCTGGCAAGATGTACCCCAACAGCACGATTGTGATCACCTCCCGACCCTCAGCAGGAGTGCAGCAGTACACCCGGCCAGACTGTCACGTACACATCATGGGCTTCTCCCGGTAGACATGTGGAGAAATACATGCAGCAGTATTTCACTGTTGTTGGGAAGCAAGAACTGACAGAGACACTTGCTCTACATGTCAACAGTAATGTAACTTTTGAACACTTTAATCTATACACCAATGTTCCTGATGTTTGTGTGTCTGCTGTGGGAGGAGGACCAAGAGATGGTGTCTACTGGAACAATGATGGGGCTGTACGACAACCTGCTGACATGTCTGGTCAGAAAGTGCTGTAAGCGGGAAGGAGTGGACATGCCAACAGAAGGGCTGCCTACAGAGGTTGCTGAGTCATTACTGCAGCTCGGCAAGCTTTCACTAGAGGCACTGCTGAGGAATGAGACCCTGCTTGACGTTACAGAAGTAAAGAGAGAAAAGGTTAATTGGGAGTTACTGTTAAAGCTGGGTGTGGTCTCCTTGGAGGTTTCTTCCTCTAAACTGCATCCTAGGAAACAGCTGAACATTTCACACAAGACCATGCAAGAGTTCCTGGCTGGACGATATGTAGCTGATGCTCAAGTGAAGCAAGACATTGTTGAGCTGCTGCAGCTCACCTCCATAAGCAAGACACTTGAACTCAGTAACCTGCTTCAGTTCACATGTGGCTGTGACTCACAGGCAGCACAAGCTGTGATGGAGGAACTAAGCAGGCTCAGCAACAGAGAGTTCGCACACTTACTACCAGAACAGTTTCAAATATCAAATGTGCCAATGGATCAAAACATGGCAAAGTCCTGCCAAACCTACAGAAGGTTTGTAAACTTGTGCCTGAACATCCTTAATGAGAGACAAGAACCAGAAGTGCTTCAGAGTATCAGTCAAGCCCTGCCAATAGTCATGCTGAACAGCTCCATTAACAGTAGAGAAGCCACAGGTCTGAAGTATTACATACAAAATCTTCATTCAGCAAACCTGCCAGACAGGCTCATACTTAAGATTAGTAGACGCACTAGTACTGGCAGGAGAGACACAGTTCAGTACCTACAGCAGTGTTTTACAACTTCACTCCCTGGACTTAGATTAGACTTGAAACTATCAGGACAGTTTATGTCACCCAATCTGACAGCCAGGCTGGTTTCAGTTCTGAAGAATGTTCCCTGTCTGAGGGCGCTGCATCTGTCACGCACAGACCTAACACCATCATCACTCCAGTCACTTGTGCAGGGGTTCAGACACATGTCTCTGTTAGAGGAGCTGGATCTTTCTTGGAACCCTGACCTTGGTGATGCTGGAATGGAAGTCCTACAGGTTGGGCTGTCCAGTGTTCCACACCTGGCTGTACTCCGTCTTGGAGGGATAATGTATGGAGTCAGCATGACATTTGTGGGCATGTCATCCCTGGCTCCCTACATGCACCACCTGGTGGGACTGAGAGAACTGGATATAAGTTGGAATAAGATCGGTGACACTGGGCTGGAATCTCTCACCACCGTCCTCCACGCCTTCACTGCCATGCAGGTGTTGGACCTGGAGAGGACCGGTATCAGCCCCACAGGCATGCGCACACTGGTCCCTGTACTGTGTAAGTTAACCAGACTGATCAAACTGGACATTAGTGCTAATGACATAGGAGACCCCGGGCTGGAATGCCTGCTGGCTGCTATCCTCCACCACCTCACAGCCATGAAGGTGTTGGGTCTCAGAGAGACAGGTATCTGTGACAGGGGAATATCATCCCTGATCAAAGCTCTGCCTCACCTGGTGCAATTACAGGTGTTGAATGTGAGCTTGAATGACATAGGAGACACTGGTGCAAACACTCTGCCAGCCCAGCAGTTTGGACATAGAACAAAACCCACCTAGGTGACAAGAGTTTGACCACAGCCCCTCACTATAACACCACACTACAGGAGCTGTACATCGGGTGGAATAGTGGAGTAACAGGAGCCGGACTGGGGAGGGTCGCACAGCTCATCAGCACACTGCCCGCACTGACCAGGCTGGACATGTCTGGTCACCGGGACACACCTGCACACCTGTCTGACACCGCTGCCATGGATCTGGCCAAGGCTCTACCCAGACTCCCTGCCCTGGAGCAGCTGAACCTGTATAACATCTCCATGGAGCCTGCAGGGTTCCAGGCTGTGGTGCAGGCTGCTGAGGAACACCCAACACTGGAGGAGCTGTTGTGAGTTATTTTGGTTATCCTATAGACATGCTCTACTCCTGGCTATCTTTAAGGACTCAAATGAGATAAATAAGTATATGTATTAGAATTCCAAGTGATGAGATGTGTGATTTGACTTTTGCTTTATATATAATTACATCCAAAACTGCACTACATGTATTTGCACAGTCAAAATTTAATACATTACCTAATGTAACGTTAACGTTACCTAATAGATATACCTGTTCTAGTACATATACTTCTACATGTATAAGGAATGTACCAATTACATGTATACAGTGTAAGTGTCATTAACTAATTAATGGCACCAAATGGTATATGAATCTCATGTTCATCAGTAGTTTTACTCCCACATTCTGTTGTTTACTAGTAGCTATGGCAATATGATGTGATTTGATGGAAGTAAGCATCTCTGTTTTTTCCATTTTCCATATACAGGTACTCTGGGGATGGAGTTCCTGAGGGAGCGGACACCACAGCCAGCTGTCTGGTGCTCGCCTGAGTTCCCAACATGGCGACCTGCTCTGTACATTTCCTCAGCTCAGGTCAGTATACTTCTATAATGTATTGAAATTTGTGAGGTTATAGTTATGCCAACATGTTGGGGACATTAATATAAAGCAGTTACTGATTTGATTTCATAACAAAGAATACAATGTACATTTAGCACACTACATATTTTGCTTTTTTTAAGATTATAAGACTTAAACAGTAAGACAAGATACATCACAAACTACAAGCAGTTGGAGACACTGCACCAAAAGCCTTGATTAGCAAAGAGATGAACAACAACCACAAAATATCTCAGCTTTCTTGTGTTCTAACTGAAATGCAAAGATAAGCCACACAAGATGCTACACAGCCAGACCTAGAGTGCTGTTTTAACATATGTGTTCTAAATGATGATGATTTTTAAATGCTGATTAAATTTTTAATCTACAGTATTGTAATGATGTTTGTATGTTAATAACTGTAAAACGTCAATACAATTCAGACGTGCCCGAAGCATTTCGGTACGTCTGCCATGTTGATGTTTAATAAAGATTTGATTTGATTTGATTTGTGCTAACATAATCTTTGAGAGAGAAGGATGCCTTAACTATAGTATAATACTATTAATGCTAAAGCACCAGTCATCTTCGGCGACGAAGGACTACCAAGAATAAAGCACCAGTGCAGTAGTAATACAATTGGCAGAGAACCACTTGCAATGATTGATGCTGAACTAGAGTTCTTAACATTATTTTGCACGTCTGTAGTGTATAAGGCACAGGAGGAACTAAGGTCTAAGTAAGTGTTTTAGTACTTTTATTATATGTGTACAATATTTTAGTTCCTTGGAGTTTAACCTGTATAAATTACTGTATACTTCCAGAAGCTGTGTTCCCTACAGATGTGGCTGTCCCAACAGGTGTGCTAACAGGTGTGTTTGTTCCAGGTGTGGCTGTCCCGACAGGTGCCCTCCAGTCTGGACCCCCTGTGTAAGTACACCAGCAGGTGTAAGGTGTGGGGGACCACAGGTGTGCTAACAGGTGTGTTTGTTCCAGGTGTTGCTGTCCCGACAGGTGCCCTCCAGTCTGGACCCCCTGTGTAAGTACACCAGTAGGTGTAAGGTGTGGTGGACCACAGGTGTGCTAACAGGTGTGTTTGTTGCAGGTGTGGCTGTCCCGACAGGTGTGCTAACAGGTGTGTTTGTTCCAGGTGTGGCTGTCCCGACAAGTGCCCTCCAGTCTGGACCCCCTGTGTAAGTACACCAGCAGGTGTAAGGTGTGGGGGACGGCCTACGTGGACAGGGAGAAACTGGACATCGACCTGCCGACAGCCGAGCAGTTCTACCAGAAACTCCTGCAGCTAGAAAACCACTTCAGGGAGAAGTACAGGGAGGTCAGGTCAAAGATCAGGGGTAAATGACAGCTGAACTAGGTCAGAGGTCAAGTTAGTCTTCTCAGGAGTGTATTTGTTACCTTTGGTTGAACTGTGTCCTATCATGAATGTAACATTTTACAGAAGTATGACACAAGAAAAGAGATCAGATGGGCAAATACCCAGAACAATTTAGGACAAGACTTTCAGTTCTGAACATCCATAACTTACTGTGGACCAATTAGATGAATAATGTTAAATAATTTCAAAAAACAAGTTTGTTGAGTATTAAATGAACAGTCTGAGAATTAGCTTTGATATCCATAAATAGGTTTAAATGAATATTTCACCTCAAGGCACTGGTGTTCACAAGAATAACTGAATTCTCTGTAAGAACTTAACACGGAATTGTGAAAGACGTTCATAGTATGCCAAAAGTCAGTCCCCAAAGGAATTTTATTTTGTATCCAGGCAATACGGTATGTTCCTCCACTGGAGTGCCACAATAATTCTTCTGTCACATGATGCTTTTTACAGATCGTTCCACTTTCTTAACATTACAGGAGTATCAATAAATTGTATGTATTACTAATTAAATAAAACTTCAAGCCAATCACATAGTTTAGTGTCTTGTAAACTGTAACAAAATGCACATACCATACTTAACTTTAACAACTTTTGTTTGTATCACTTTAAGCTCAGTTTTATTCACTAAGTATACAAGTACCTACATTCTATATAAGATCACCCCCTATTGTAAAATACACTCTTCCAAGGCCAAAATGGTGGTAGGCAGAATGAAAGTCGATTCCAAAAGTAGAAGGAAGTTTTCTGGGGACGTCCATGAAGAAAGTTAGTACAGATCCGGGCAATTTTTAAAACAAATTGTACTGTCTGTCTTCTGTAACTTTACTTAGCTAGTGCATCAATTTCAGAAGACACGGAATTTAAGACCCCCCCCCATCCGTAGGTGGTTTCATGTATGCATGTCCAAACAGGAACACTAAAGCATGGAATGAAAGTTTAACACGCTCTTTACAATCGTAATAATTGTAATTTCATTTTGGGCTTTGGTTTCATGCAAACTTTGATATCATAATTTATAATGAAATGTGGAAACTTCTTCCATTTTAAGACTCTTGAGTAGGAAAAGTCCTCAGATATGAATAGATGTATTCTCAACTAGAGTTCCCCGATCTCATACCTTCGCCAAATGATGTGAATCTTTTAGACTGACAAATTATAGATTATTCCCCCTGATTATGCCAATAGGATCCTCATTTTGATGAATTATATCAATTTATCACATTCTCAACCAAACGACTGTCTTATGTTAACAAACAATGCCATTCTAGCATTCTCATGAATTATGCAAATGAGGTCCTGATTTGAATACATTATGTTTAATGATGCTTACCTTCACTGAACTTTCAAATACCACAAGTATGAAATTCCAGGCAGTTATCATTGCAGAATTATAACATTTCTCATTAATTATGCAAAATTAGGTCCTCATTTACATATTAATCAATATCTGCCTGTGTTTCTCTCGTTCTCAATTACCAATCTCACAAGCTTCAATAGTCCTGAAAACATAACCTTCTTGGCGAAGGTAACTAACCGACGTTGTTGACAACAGGCCAGCACACTGCACTGGTGTTTGCTGCAGGCTTTATTTGCTGTTTTCACGTCGCAATTATCTCATCAAAGGCAACAATCTTGTCAGCGTTCACTTTTTTGGAGAGTGAAAAAGTTAGAACAGCCTAGAACAGCCTAGAATGTATAGTTTACCAACATCTTCAAGCAAAATAAGGTCCGCGGAGTCTTGTGTAAATTATTCAGAACGTCATGAAAGCCTTGACCTCAAGGTCATCAGTAGTGCCAGGTGTGAATATAATTGGGATCAGAGGTCAGCTTGAAAGCGCTGAAAGAAAACGATGGTTATCAGTTGAAAAGCCTGGCATGTAAGAAGTTAGATAAATGACACCACAGGTTAAGGAATATCTGAGGGGGGGAAGTGACGAAGAGAGAGGAATCAGTGAATTTTGATCACATTCAGCAATGTTTAAACCGGGAAAACAGGATGAAAATATTAGGGTTATTTTTTTCTCTTGCAAAAATTAGATTTTTTGTGTTTGAAGCTTCCAAACAATGTTAGATAGTCTTACTATCAAGTTTACTTTACACACGGTAAATTCAGGCTACAGACATGTAGGTGGTGAGATTTGCATACTTGATCAGCGAGATTCGAGGTTGTTGGGCAACTTTCTGGGCGTAGACATTCTGAGCAGCAGCTACTAATTAAAAGTACAGAACCCACGACTGTCCCAACGAAGACTTCGGAAAAAGGTCTGTCAGATTTTCATAACTCTATATTAGTGTGCTGTAGCGGTTAGCAATTCTTCTGGACAGGGGGGACAAGGGTTTGAATCCTGTCCTCTTGTCCCTGACTAGCTGGCTGCAAGGAAATGATTATGTCATGTAGTGTGCATTGTGCTTGTTGAAAAGGGCAGACATGATTTTCCAGCACATTAAATCTGTGTAAGCTGTTAACTCACACAGCCTGTGCCCTTTACTCTGATCAGTGTGGAGAATATCTTGTTCTGTAAGCTAAATAACTAGGTTGATATGTTCTAAGTGACACCCACTACTAACCTTGGGTAATGCTAATATTGGGACTAAGTGAGAGAGTAGCCTTGACCGTAGGTTACTCTCTCAGTACATAGTACAGGTTGAAAGTTTTAGAGTTCAAGTTGAGTTACAGTAATTTTCCACCTAAAAGGTAGCATATTATGAATTCTAGTGTGTCCTTTCTTAATAAGCTGTAGTTTTTAATTGAAGAACTTTTTCTGTTGGAACCAAATTCCTGGCATTCTAACTAAGACTAGTAAGAGTGAGTGTGTGCAATCAATGCTGGTCTCCACCGAGAAGGAAGTGCTTAATTTTGGGCCCAGTAACATTTGTTGTGCAACAGATTTACTGCAAATTCAGGGGTGGTGGATGCCATGGTCGCCTCCTATAAGCTGTGTTGAATTAATGTAGCTGTGGAGAAGCCGCATTGAAGAAGAAAATTCTATCTTGTTAGCACAAACTTTCCTGTTCAAAACACCTACTTGAAGGCCCCCTTTGTTTTGCTGAAATGGTTGTAACTGAAATAATCAGCTACTGTTGTAATTAGAGTTGAAGCACCCTGTTCATTTTTTGTCGTAAAGAAAACCACAGATGAAAAGTTTGGAATGTTTTTTAACAATGGAAATCCTCTCTTCCAGTTGTACCTCACCTGTGTGCGTTCCTGTGTGGGGGGTGGGGAGAAGACTGACCGTGCCTGGGTGGTACGGGGGAGAGACACGGCTACTCCTGCTGCACCACCGGTTCCCTATACTTCCCTGGTGACCTAGAAAGGAGTTCCAATATACTTCCCACCTAGAAAGGAGCTACTCAACCCTTTCCTCGAGTACATGTATGTAATCAAACAAGATTTCTACTGCTGTGTTGGTAGAATCTATAGTTGTAGAGTTCAAGCTTTGTTTCAACACAAGAAGGGAGTCACCATAAATTTGGAGGAAACTAGAAATTGCAGCTAAGTTACTATTGGGGGACAAACAACCTCTGGCCGGCCGAACATTCCAGAGCCCATCCCCGTACATGTAGGTATGGTAACCAGGCTACTTAGTTTGTTGTGTTGGAACAAAGCAATAAAACAGTTCTATTAGAGTGATGATTTCCAAATCATTCTCTGTAAAAACTTTACTGTTTTTGGACCGGTTGTGTGAGAGTGAGTGAGTGAGTGAGTGAGTGAGTGAGTGAGTGAGTGAGTGAGTGAGTGAGAGTAAGTGTGAGTGAGAGTGAGTGAGTGTGAGTGAGTGAGTGAGTGAGTGAGTGAGTGCGAGTGAGTGAGTGTGAGTTGGTGTGAGTGTGAGTGGGTGAGAGTGTGAGTGAGTGAATATGAGTGAGTGTGAGTGAGTGAGAGTGAGTGAGTGTGAGAGTGGGTGAGTGAGTGGGTGTGAGTGAGTGCGTGAAAGAGTGAGTGAGTGAATGAGAGTGGGTGAGTGAGAGTGTGTGAGTGTGAGTGAGTGAGTGAGTGAGTTTCACCTCTCACCAGGAAATTTACTAGCTCTGATGCATAAGAGCTAGTAAAATTGTTTTCAACTCAAAAGCCGGCAGACTTCGTGTTCCATACGGGTTCTGGAAAAGATTTCAGGTAAAAGGACAAAGATCACAAAGGTCAACATTCGCGACTCTGATTGTGCAATTCTTGTCATGATGCTCTAGACGGTAGTTATGAGGTTTTAAACAGAAAACGTCAAAAAGAAGTCTGAAATTTTACCGCTTTCCCCCTAATTTAAAAAATGCACAACTGTAGAAATGAATTATGGTTCCCTGTTGTCTTTAATGTGTAGCTTTTGTTTCATTTTATGCGAGTTTTAGTGTCCTGGGTTTAGCAATACATTTTCTGGGCGTGCGGAAATTGCACGCTGTGCGTGGGTGGGAGGGGGGCATTACGTACGCATGATTTGACCGAGCTGCTTTTTCTGTGTAATATTGAATATTTTCCCACTATTCGTATATAGTGAAGCAGTATTCTATTATTTGAAATGTGTAATTCATCCCTAAAGTGTCAAACATCATGTTTGTTCATTCACACACTGTGTGTAACAGCCATGATACCCAAATACATTTTGTAAAGTTAATGTACAATGTCATCATACATGGCAAACATATTTGTAAACATAACTGTTAGTTGGAAACAAATAATTACCATATTTGGCATAAATAATTATTTGAGAAAAGCAGGTTGTTTCCAGGTCTGCTTGTATGTAGATGTTACTAATGTGACAACCTTGTGCAGAGGAGGTGAATAGTATGTAAATCAGGACCTTGTTTACAGAATTGTAAGTACACCTCCCTAGTGTGACTTGTGACTAATAAGGCTGTAGTTCCTGGAACTGGGGATACCACATACGTCAGACACACACCTGTCTGTTCCAGGTGTTGTTATCACATACCTGACACACACCTGTCTGTTCCAGGTGTTGTTACCACATACCTGACACACACCTGTCTGTCCCAGGTGTTGTTACCACATACCTGACACACACCTGTCTGTTCCAGGTGTTGTTACCACATACCTGACACACACCTGTCTGTTCCAGGTGTTGTTACCACATACCTGACACACACCTGTCTGTCCCAGGTGTTGTTACCACATACCTGACACACACCTGTCTGTTTCAGGTGTTGTTACCACATACCTGACACACACCTGTCTGTCCCAGGTGTTGTTATCACATACCTGACACACACCTGTCTGTCCCAGGTGTTGTTACCACATACCTGACACACACCTATCTGTTCCAGGTGTTGTTACCACATACCTGACACACACCTGTCTGTTCCAGGTGTTGTTACCACATACCTGACACACGCCTGTCTGTTCCAGGTGTTGTTACCACATACCTGACACACATCTGTCTGTTCCAGGTGTTGTTACTGCATACCTGACACACACCTGTCTGTTCCAGGTGTTGTTACCACATACCTGACACACACCTGTCTGTTCCAGGTGTTGTTACTGCATACCTGACACACACCTGTCTGTTCCAGGTGTTGTTACCACATACCTGACACACACCTGTTTGTTCCAGGTGTTGTTACCACATACCTAACACACACCTGTCTGTTCCAGGTGTTCCTATAATGCTGATGTAGCTGACACCTGTGTGAGTCATGGCTGAGGGCCAGGGGGCGGCTGGGCGCTCAGGTGAAACTGCAGGTGAGAAAAATCACAATGTTCTGAAGGTAAAATACAGGTGCCAGTTAAGATAGCATAACCTCTCATCCTGATAAATAATTGTGCACATCATGACAGCAGTGCCCATGACTGCAGAAGCTGAGTTGACATCATTACTGATACCTGAATCCACCTCTCTGAGACAGGTTCACCCCAAACCTCTAGCAGCCAGCTGAAGAGGAAGAGGGAGGATGGAGAAGAGTTTCCAGGGAAGAAGAAACCAGCTGCTTGTAGAGAGGAAGGTGAGAGGTTATATAGCATAGAGTTCTGTATAAAGATAAGCCTGTGATCATGAGTAAAGATATATGTGTTGGTAAAACATTACATGTGAAATCACATCCTAAGAATTGGAAGTCTTTTCAGTTATGTAAGATTTTGTTGCACTGCCTTTGAATATGGTATAATGTAGCTGTACAATGTAGGCGCTTGGTTACCAGTAGGTAATGGTATCTCTGGAGAGTTAAGTAAACAAGATCAGTAACCTCTTTTCATTACTTTCCAGGTGTTCGTAGGTACTTCTATTACACCAAAGAAAAGGTGAGCTCAGACTGGAAGGACGTGGCCTTCCATCTTGGGTTTGAACAACCAGACATCGACAACATCGAAGGGAGAAACCGGGATGACAAGTCTCGCTGTATGGACCTGTTGGAGGAATGGCTGAAGGGTAACGGAGAGAGAGCCACCATAGAGGTCCTGATGGAGGCTCTGTCTGAGGCAAACCTACAGAGTGTTGTGGATGGTCTCCAAGGTAAGAAATGCTTGTATTCTTAGACCACTTTCTACTTTGAACTCTCCATGATATGATTATTAATGTTACCCCTTTTTTTGTCCATATCATGCTGATGACAGTAATTTTTTTATCTACTGACTAATGTTGTTACATTGTACCTTCTTTTAAAAAACTGTTTCTTGTTACTTGCTTAGACTCTTTTGTTAACACTTTGGAAGTTGTTGAATAGGACTGGCAAAAGAAATGACAGTCTAAGGGATTTTAAAGAATCAAATCAGTGTGATATGTGAAAGAAACCAAAAGTCTTCTGGTCTGTAATTCCCAAATTCCTAAGTTTGATCTTTAGAAATTAGAGAAAACATTTTATAAAAAGATTATTGAGAATGTTGTCCTACATTTTTCTTATGATATTTCAGAAAAATGGTGTATATGAAATTATAACCCTGCTTTGTCCACTTCCAGAAGTTCCAGTTCCAGTTGGAGCTGCAGGAACAGAGTCTTCTTCAGTGACAGGTGTCAATCAGACAGGTATCAACATTCAAATCAGAAATGAGAGGAGATCTCTTCTAAGTTTACTTAACATGCATTTCCTCCCTCAGAGGGATCCTGGGCCCTACTAGGGTTTGGGTTGGCGTTAGGAAGAGCATCCAGCCGTAAAAATCTTGCTTCAAAAAAGACTTGTACCTGGTGCAAGCACGTCTAACCCCCGGTTGGGGAAAAATGACGTTAAATTCGGTTTTTAAAAAAATATTGTTTAGGGAAACAGTTTATTTAATAAAAGATTATTGAGACCTGGTTCATAAGAAAACCTTGTTCAAGCTGATAAGAATTTTTCTCAGATATATGTGTTGCTGTCTTGCATAAGTCACATTTTTCTCTTAGATTAATTTTGTTTTTAAGTTTTACAACACTCACTGTGTCTTTCTATTCCAGATTTGTTCCAGAAGTCTGTGAAGAAGTACTATGAGTTGAAACTGACTCACTTCAAGCCTCTGATCTGGAATGACAACTTCACACTTAGCCTCAGTGACATCTTCACCCAGTTAGAGTTAATACAAACACTAACAGGAAAACAAAGAAAAGAACTTAAGTCAATAGACGACTTGTTCAACCCAGATGTCACAGGACTGTCCACAGCACCAAGGTGCATTCTGATTGAGGGTGAAGCTGGAGGGGGGAAGACAACGTTTCTGTCCAAAGAAGCCCTAGATGCCGTCTCACAGAAAACAGAGCTGGGCAGACGACACGACATCGTCCTGTTGATCCGACTCCGGGAGGTGAGAGAGGGGGAGACCATAGAGGAGATGGTGTGGGACCAGTGTGTTCCTGAAAGAAAAGATCTTAATGTAAAATACATTGAAGCAATCCTTGAGAGAAACGAGTCCCATGTGCTCTTCCTCCTAGATGGGTATGATGAGCTGCGGCCTGAGGCCAGGGCAGCCAGGCAGGCCATTCCCAAACTGCTGTCTGGCAAGATGTACCCCAACAGCACGATTGTGATCACCTCCCGACCCTCAGCAGGAGTGCAGCAGTACACCCGGCCAGACTGTCACGTACACATCATGGGCTTCTCCCGTAGACATGTGGAGAAATACATGCAGCAGTATTTCACTGTTGTTGGGAAGCAAGAACTGACAGAGACACTTGCTCTACATGTCAACAGTAATGAACTTTTGAACACTTTAATCTATACACCAATGTTCCTGATGTTTGTGTGTCTGCTGTGGGAGGAGGACCAAGAGATGGTGTCTACTGGAACAATGATGGGGCTGTACGACAACCTGCTGACATGTCTGGTCAGAAAGTGCTGTGAGCGGGAAGGAGTGGACATGCCAACAGAAGGGCTGCCTACAGAGGTTGCTGAGTCATTACTGCAGCTCGGCAAGCTTGCACTAGAGGCACTGCTGAGGAATGAGACCCTGCTTGACCTTACAGAAGTAAAGAGAGAAAAGGTTAATTGGGAGTTACTGTTAAAGTTGGGTGTGGTATCCTTGGAGGTTTCTTCCTCTAAATTGCATCCTAGGAAACAGCTGAACTTTTCACACAAGACCATGCAAGAGTTCCTGGCCGGACAATATGTAGCTCATGCTCAAGTGAAGCAAGACATTGTTGAGCTGCTGCAGCTCACCTCCATAAGCAAGGCACTAGAACTCAGTAACCTGCTTCAGTTCACATGTGGCTGTGACTCACGGGCAGCACAAGCTGTGATGGAGGAACTAAGCAAGCTCAGCTGCAAGGAGTTTTCACATTTACAACCAGATGACTTTCAGGAGATGTCCTGTCTACCTGTAAAGCCAGATGTGAAGAAATCAGTTGAAACTTACAAGAGTTTCATGTTGCTCTGCCTGAATATCCTGAATGAGAGAAAGGAGCTGGGTGTACTGCAGGCTGTCAGCAGAGCCCTGCCAGTTATCATATTGGACCTCCATATACACAATAAACAACATGCTGCTCACCAGTATTACTTGGAAAACATCCAGTCATCACATCTCCCTGATAGAATGATGCTAGATTCATCTCAAGTTGATTCATCAGAAGCTGTTCATGGCCTGGAACAGATTTTCACCTCACGTGTTCCCGGCCTGCAGTTAGACCTAAGACTGGACCATGTAACATTTAACTCACCTGATCTGACAGCTAGGCTGGTTTCAGTTCTGAAGAATGTTCCCTGTCTGAGGGAGCTGGGTCTGTCATGGACAAAACTAACACCATCATCACTCCAGCCACTTGTGCAGGAGTTCAGACACATGTCTCTGTTAGAGGAGCTGGATCTTTCTGTGAACCCTGCCCTTGGTGATGCTGGGATGGAAGTCCTACAGGTTGGGCTGTCCAGTGTTCCACACCTGGCTGTACTCCATCTCAGGTTTGTCAACATGACAGCTGTGGGCATGTCATCCCTGGCTCCCTACATGCGCCACCTAGTGGGACTGAGAGAACTGGATATACGTGATGATGTGATTGGTGACACTGGGCTGGAATCTCTCACCACCGTCCTCCACACCTTCACTGCCATGCAGGTGTTGGGCCTGGAAAGTACCGGTATCAGCCCCACAGGCATGCGCACACTGGTCCCTGCACTGTGTAAGTTAACCAGACTGATCAAACTGGACATTAGTGGTAATGACATAGGAGACCCCGGGCTGGAATGCCTGGCTGCTATCCTCCACCACCTCACAGCCATGAAGGTGTTGTTTCTCAGTGAGACAGGTATCAGTGACAGGGGAATATCATCCCTGATCAAAGCTCTGCCTCACCTGGTGCAATTACAGGTGTTGGATGTGAAGTGGAATAACATAGGAGACTCAGGGATTGTCTCACTGGTGCAAACACTCTGCCAGCCCAGCAGTTTGGACATGGAACAAAACCCACCTGGTGACAAGAGTCTGACCACAGCCCCTCACTATAACACCACACTACAGGAGCTGGACATCAGGGAGAATAGGGGAGTAACAGGAGCCGGACTGGGGAGGGTCGCACAGGTCATCAGCACACTGCCAGCACTGACCAGGCTGAACATGTCTGGTGACAGGCTCACACCTGCACACCTGTCTGACGCCGCTGCCATGGATCTGGCCAAGGCTCTACTCAGACTCCCTGCCCTGGAGCAGCTGGACCTGCGGTACATCTCCATGGAGCCTGCAGGGTTCCAGGCTGTGGTGCAGGCTGCTGAGGAACACTCAACACTGGAGAGGCTGAGGTGAGTTATATTGGTTATCCTATAGGCAAAATTGCTGTTCCCCAGGGTACCTTAAAGGGACAACAGGGTAACAGGTGTTAGAAATCTGAGTGATGAGGATTTGACTTTTTCTGTACATTGAAGACTGCACTAGATGTGTTTGCACAGTCAAATTGTAATAAATGCACCTAATAGATACACACCTGTTCTGGTACACATACTTCTATAAGGTACATGTATGTACCAATTATACATGTAAGTGTGCATTAACCTACAGGACATTAAATTGTGAATCTCTTGTTTGTCAGTAGATCTATTCCCATATTCTGTTATTTAAGTTATAATGACAATATGATGTTGATTGTTGTAACTAAGCAACTCTGTTTTCCATTTTTCATATACAGCTACTCTAGGAGTCTAGTTCCTGAGGGAGCGGACACCACAGCCAGCTGCCTGAAGCTGGAGTGAGTTCCCAACATGGCGACCTGTTCTGTACATTTCCTTAGCTCAGGTCAGTATACAGTACTGTATTAAAAATTATATAGTTATAATTATCTACTCATTACAACATGTTGGGGAGTCTGGGGATATTGATATAATAGAGCTAATTTTGTTTCTATTCAGGATGGTAAGAGCTGCTAAAAATACTACATAAAACGTTTGTTGTATTAATGTATGATCGTGTAATATTTCTGGAACAGCATATTTATACAGTATATTGTACATTTATTATATTGTTTCAGGCAACACCAGCTCAGAGGGATATGAAGCAAACAAACCAGTTTTAGTGCCAAATTCACTCAGGTTAAGGGCATTGACAGAGATGATCTATGAAATGTTTAACTTTGTAATTACATGTAGTTTGTGGGGACAATTTTTGTGAAGAACTTTGACCATTCCAGATTAAGCTGAAGTATCCAATGTGAATAAGGTAGAAATATTGTAATCTTAGCTGTATCAGTCACTGTGTGGATTTTGTTTTCTTTGTAACAAAAGGTAACAACAAAGAACCCACAGATTTACCTACCTAAATGCAATGTAATGCTGTATATATGTACGTATATGTATATGTATATGTATATGTATATACACTGTTATATGTATTTGTGTCAAGATTATGACATTGTAATCTTTGCTCTGTTTGTATATATTGGATTCTTTTTGTAATTTTTGTGTAAATGAGAAAATTATTCATCCTGTATTTCATGAAGTTCATAGAACAGGAATAAAGTCATCTCATCATTGTACACCTGGTGTTGTGGGGTAAGTTTGTACAGTTGTGCCTTTTTTTTTTCAAGGAATATCATGTTTTGTGTGTGTTTGTGTGTGTGTGTGTGTGTGTGTGTGTGCCAGTGTGTGTGTTTGTGTGTGAGTGTGCACGCGTGTCTGTGCCTGTGTGTATGTGTGCCTGTATGTATAATATGTGTGAGTACCTTTATGTGTGTGTGTGTGTGTGTGTGTGTGTGTGTGTGTGCCAGTGCACAAATACACACAGACACATCCACACAAACTCGAACACATGTACTCAGACACACCCACATTTAAATGTGCCTTTTCCAAGACCACCTGACTGGTAAGAGACTGACCTCAGAACCTCTCACACAAGCCAAAGCCCCAAACCTCTGCTTGGAGAGAATCTTTTATACTTCAAAAGAGAGAGACAAAGAGGGGGGTGGGTGGAAACCTATGGTGAAACTCCCCTGGCAAACTATCATCACTATTTGGCTAAATCTATTTTTAGCAGTGTAGTTAGTCTGGTGGAGACTTCCATAGGCCTGCTTGTCAACCTCAGCACTTTTCAAACTTCATAACCCGACTGCAAAACACATGGTTACTACTTCAGAAACTGTCCCAGATTCCGGCATGTTGTCCGTATGTAAACCCACAGAACCACACACACAGACAGACAGACACACACACAGACAGTAAACACATGGTTACTACTTAAGGCATGTTGTCCGTATGTAAACCCACAGAACCGATGTCACGTGGAATGTGGTAATTACCGGTAGTTGACGTGTTTGTCTCTGGTCAACAAGTCCGACGCTTCCTGTCCCAACATGAAACTTAAAACATCCTCAATCAGAGACCGGCGGACAGGTAGTACTTTGTACAGGTGTGACCTGATGCGTGTGTGTGTGTAGGTATGCACGTGCACGTGTCGTAATTATAGAACTATGTATATACTAGGACCATACTATTGTGTTATTGTATTTTTAATGTATGTATATATTAATGTATTATTGTACATAACTGTATATCCCACTAAGTATGTAATATGTATTCCCATGCATGTCTTACGATTTTCATCTTTTCCCTTTTCCTGGCTTCTTTGTAAGCCGAAATAAATAAATAAATAATAGAAACACCGGTACCAGTCAGCCCAGATATTAAAACCTCTACCAGACTTACTACGGTAGCTATGGGGAGGACAATTTGCCAGAAAAGTTTATATTTACCCGCGCAGAAATGCTACCCTTTAATACCAGCGGCTAATTCCCTAACCCTAATACTGCTGTATTCAGGCTACTAACCCATTACACTTGGTTTGATACTAAGTTTTTTTACGTGCCTAACTTGAGTTCGCAGTCACTTTGTGTCCTTTCATTTGTATTTTGTTACCGTTTTCTGACTAAAATAATGATACTGCCCTGCCAATTTGACACAAGTTGTAGCCACCGAAAAATCTGTTTGGAGATTAGCCGGTGACCAGGTTAGAGCCGGCGGCGGGTGTTTAAAGTCTGTTTCCCGCCGCTGACGAGGGTCTTACCAGGCTTCCCGGTCGCCTAGCAACGCAGACGACATTTGGACACGGACTGGCAGACAGGCACAGTCGGCAGTGTGCTGAGAGGAGTGCAGACAGGCCACGGAGGTAAGGACGGTCACTAACGGCTACTTGGAACAACCTTCTTTAATTAAGGTGACAGCTTTTTTGCTCCTTACATAATCTTAAGTAAAGTTAAGACGGGCCCTGTACGCTTAGTAGGCCGCCGCAAGCGTCTTCCGGGTCTACCGGAGCCTTGGTGCTTTCTCGCGCGGAAAGTGGTCTCTACTGGTCGGAGCAGTCTTTTGGGTCGCCCCTTTCAACATAACAGAAGAACGTTTCTGTACTAGACGCGATTAAGATACGACATATGATCTCTTAGCTTGTTCCAATACAATTCACGAAGACTGCCCAAATACTTCCAAGAAGTCTGAACTTGATATCTTAAAAGATTCCTTTCAGTTCTTCCTTGTCTAGATCTTCTTTGTCGCCCGCTTCATAATTATAACAGAAGAAAGTTTCTGTACTAGTCCTATTAAAATACGCCATACAAGCTGTCCCAATACAATTCACGATGGCCCAAAATACATCCCGGAAGTTTTAAATCTCATCTTTAAAGATTTCTTCCTGTTTTTTCTTGTCCAGATCTGTCACTCCAAGACAGTCCCGTGATTGACGATGTCTTACCTGCCCTTTGACACCTGTAGAGATAACACTATCTGGACTAAAAACCAATTGACCAAAATACGAGCGAGTTATTTACCTGCAGGGCAAACGAAACCTTTACCGGTCGGCTGACTTCTGTCGCAAAAATCAAACCTTTCCTCACTTGTCCGATTTTTCACCATTCATTCAGAAAACTCGGTTTAAAGTCCCTGTCACACATTCAGGACCTTTCCACGATTTTGCTCACTACCAGTCCCAAAACCATTATTAAGTCTATAGTGGCTATACAGATACAGAATACAGAAGTCAGCACTGCGTTCGAACTAGCCTGAAATTTAGCTCTGGTTCCCTCTAGATCACATCCAAGCAGAATATAACTTTGCCAACTTTTTTTTTAACTTCTCATAGTCGCAGGCGACTTTTAAGACTAGTAAGGCAACCTTAGTGCTGTCAAACTCCCAGCCACAGTAGACCTTGGTCCTCGGCATTGTTAAGACCGTCGATTGTTGATATTATGTGGGGCAGGTTTTAACAAAGGTCTCTGATTCGCGTCCGGCTTTTAAAAATAAATGTTGTCGCCGCTGGACCGGGGTCGGTAAAATACGGGTAACAATAGAACCTGACAGGTAACAATAGAGACAGGACAGGTGTGCCTGGGGCAGGTGAGTTTACCTGCTACCTGTCCGCCTTCTATGGCACCTGTGCCTACGGCAGCGAAAGTGCCATCAGTACTAGTGCACCAGTAGAAAAATGAATCATGAATAGACGGTCATTATAGAAGAAGTTGAACACTGCCTTAGATCAGAACACTTTATATTAGCCTAGTATAGTACCCTTGTGTGTTCCTTATGTATGTTTTCTACATACGTCTGTTATGTGTCTGTTAAGTCTTGACCTGTACCTAGCCCGTCGTGGCATGGATGTACAATAAAGGTATTTCATTATACAGTGTCGGTGGGGGAGGGGGGCGGTGGTTTATTTTTAGGCACTAAGTAGATTAAGGAAGTCAATGGAAGGGGAGAGTAAATTGCTACAGGTAAGTAGCGAGCAAACTGATGTAAGAACTGTGATGGGGGTCAGGCGGGGTGACGTGTTGCCACTTAGCAGTTTCCCAGGGACGGTTATACAAACGTCGGACGGGTTTTGTGTACAACAAATTGGACTAAGGCCACGGCAAGTAAATTTTCTGGATGACATCCTCCGCAGACTCCAAATCTAATGCGAGCGGGCGAAAAAAAACAAGGCGGGCCGAAATAAACAAGGTTCCTACATTTTAGAATTTTGACTCAGTCATTCTACAAATGGTTTTGATTCAGTGGAACATCACATATATACAGCCAGCATCACATATCACTGCATCAAAGTAAGAAAAAAACATTAAATCAGAGCCTTTTCTTGTCTCCTCTCTTCATAGATATCTGCCATCCACCTTCCGGTATGGCAACAGACATCTTTGCGTCGGGCGGGTTTTGTGTACAACAAATTGGACTAACTATGTTAGAAGAGTGTTTTGTGTGGAGGCGGTCGCACGGAGTTTAAAATACGTCTCCCGGGAGAGTTAAGTCTCCGGCAGACTAATTAAAAACTCTGGCTGAAAAAAATAGTACAAGTAGAATTTAGCCAAATGGTGGGAATGATTTGCTAATGGCGTTTGGCCGCCA